GTCTTATATACGTTTTGGAACGTCTTTTGAACGTTTCGGACGTTTTTTCCGTTTTTTTTAGGTCCGGTGCCCACTGGGATAGCGCCTATGATGGCATACTGGTCATATTTTCATAAATATTGGCTATGGCGAAAAAGTGATTAGACCAACATGTCTATACTAACTTTACATTAGTTTTAGTAAAAAAACGTTCCTTATGCATAAATATTGCTTTAATAATCAACAAAAATTGATTTTGCGATGCGCTGTTGTATTTTTGATCCCTTTAAATATATAAGATTGAGATTTTATACTTAACTGTGCAGAAATGAAGTTTTCAGGCATTTTATTTCCAGGTTTTATGCATTAATGCATAAAATTGAAATAATACTTATTTCAATTTTATCTTTTGAACAAGGCACACATAGCTTGTTTAAATGAAAATGATGACTTCTTCCTATGATGGCATACTGACAAGTTAGGTGTGTTGCAATATTGAGGAGTTGAAGAAACCTTTTTTTTCTTCATAAAAACTTTTCTTTCTTTCTTTTTTCTTCATAGAAACATATTTGTTAGTGAAGAAAAAAGGGATTTTTACTTCACTAAAAAGTTTTTAGTTTTTAAAAAACACATAAAACGCAATATCTCTTATGCGCATGCGCGAAATTCTACACTGCTGCTGTGTAGAACAAAAGGGTTAATTAGGATGATTACGCGTAATTTCGGGCATTTCTAAGGGAAGATTCTAAGTTCAAACGAAATCGTCAAGTTACCCTTGATGCTAACAAGCCACATTCTCCTATGCCATCATAGGAACTGTAATTGCCTATGATGGGATACTTTTGCGTTTTTTTAAAATAAAAATAACTAATAAAAAAAAAAATAAAACGGATGAAAACTCCAAGGGTTATTATTGTTCTACATAAAACAAAGAATCTTTTGCTCTCGATCTTGAGGAAACTGAATATTGTAGCTAGAAACTTAAGAGCAGCCGTGGCGCAGTGGTAGCGCACTTGACTCAGAAACGTAAGATCCGTGATTCGAACCCCACCCACAAGGAGGCGTGAACTTCCTACTAAATGCACTTCCGCGGTGCTCTGTGATAAGACCGTAAGGACTTCTTGGGGCACCTTAATCAACTTAAAAAAAAAAGTATGCTATCATAGGTGCCCTTCCCCTATATATATATATATATATATATATATATATATATATATATATATATATATATATATATATATATATATATATATATATATATATATATATATATATATATATATATGTATATATATATATGTATAAAAGATAATAATTTATACCCCAACTGAAAGGTTCAATAAAAAATAAAGCAAGAAATTAAAAATCACTAAATGGAAAAAAATTATGATAAATGATAATAAAAAGGCTTTAAAAATAAATAATAAATCCATAAAAATAAATTAAAATTATTTTTTAAAGTAAAATGACAATGTAAAAAATTTTACAGGAGTTTTATTTATTTAAAATATAAAAATTGTTATTGCCAACTAACTGGAATTTGTATTTTTATAATCAGAGGAAAACCACCAAGAGCATCAAGAACAAAATAAAAGCAATCAAAGTCGGTTTGCGTCTTAAGTTTTAAATTTAGTTTGTAATTTCAACATAACCCATTTAAAGAAACCCATTTTGATCTTCTGGTGCTTGATATCATAAAAATTAAGAAGTAAAAGAAATAAAAACCAAGAAGTGGTAAATGCAGTTAATTCCGTTGAAAACTTTGTGAAAAAAAATGAATTGAAATTAAACTTTTTAAAGACTAAAATATAGGAGTGTAAGGAGTCTATGTTTAATCCAATAAAACGAAACAGCATAATACTTTTTTTTGATCAAACAACAATTTTTTATATTAAAAGTTATTTTTTTTTAAATTTAACAATTTTTTTGATCATGAAAACTATCTTCTCTTTCCAAAGACGGACTGTACGGACGCAGTAGAAGTAAATCAGAGAACTTTGATTTTTTTAAAGACTGTCGGCTTAAAGATAAACCCATAGTTGAATGTTTAATCAATAGCGCTACTCAACTTTCTCCCACCCCCCATCCCCACTGTTTTTATAATTGATTATAATAGAATACATTATACTGATTTAAAATTATTTTAAAACGTAGGTCTAAAAATTTGAGAAAAGTACTCTAATTTAATGTAAAAACCCATATTAAAAATGCAAACACTCTACCATCTTTTTAAAAACATATTAACGCTGTTTTCAAAAATTAAGAAATTATTTTTTTAACTACGCGACCCTGTTTTTATTGTCGTATTTACATTTTAAGATGTACATACATCGTATGTACATCTTAAAATGTACATGCATCGACCGACAAATAGGGATTGGTGCAATTAAATGTACATACATCGACTGGCAAATAGGGATTGGTGCAATTAAATATACATGATTTGGGGCAGGATTTGGTTAGGGTCAGAAAACAATAAGAAATGCGTTTTTAATAAATTGGCAATAAAAACCATGCTTTTTTAAAGTTGTCATTATAAAAGAATTTTATCATAACCGAGTATGACAGAGATGGCGAATATTAGCATTTTTAATGAGGATTTTTATACTTTAACACCAAATTAGAGTACTTTTCTCAAGGTTTCAGACCCATTTTTTATATGATTTAGATTCAGTATAATGTATTCTATAAAAATCAATCATAAAAACAGGGGGGAGGGGGAAGTTGAGTACCGCCTGATTAATGATGGAATTGTTGTTGTAAATATTATATTACCCAAGAATTGTGAAACTTTCGAAGATTATTCA